AGAACATTCTAGAACGTTCTCCATTTTTTTTTTTTTTCTCGAGAAGATGTTGGAATAACCTCATTCTTTATTTTTTTTTTTTTTTTACTTCGAGAACATTCTAGAACAATTTCTTTCTCTATATTTTTTCGAGAACATTCTAGAACATTCTCATTCTCTCTATTTTTTTTCGAGAATATGCTAGAACAATTTCTTTCTCATTTTTTTTGTCGAGAACATTCTAGAACATTCCCATTCTCTCTCATTTTTTTCGAGAACATTCTAGAACAACTACATTCACAATTACATTTTTTTCCTTTTTTTGAGAGATATTATTAGGATATGGAGCCGTTAGGGAAAATAAAAAGGAAATTGTAATTTTATTGATAAATTTTATGTATACGAAGAAAAAAAATGTCTGTATTGTATTGTATTAAGATTTTGTGTTTTTTTCGGAACAATAAATGATCTTCACAAGGTGAATCTTGAAGAAAAATGAATGTTTCAGTTTTCCAAATCATGAAATAGTGAATATTTTTTATCGGATTTTCGAATGCTACGAAAATCCAAGGGTATGACAGTGTTGCCACATGTCAGGAACTTTGCAGCGGACACTTTTGGACGATCGATATTTGGCAACACCGCAAGAGGCCGATCTGTCCCACAACGATGAACAATTTAGTGTAAATAAACCATTAACTCATGTATTATACTTTCTAATTTAGTCAAATGACCAATATAGAAGATAATGTTCTTGTGTTTATATACATATATATATGAAAAGAGAATTGATAGCCTTTTAAAGATGGTCTTTGTTGATTTTTTCATGATAAAAGGTCCCGGATTTTATGTTAGTCCTGAATATTGTGCTATTTCCATTCCTCGTGTTATTATCCCCGTGTACCCAGTTCAATATTACAGGGAAAATACCTGTCTGTTTCTACTAGTCTTTGCACAATTTTGTAAGTAAAATAAAAGAAATAAAGAGAGAAATTAAAGAGATGTTGTGTAAAGATATTTGATAATGGTGATGTGGATGGACATATACCCCCATTTTTCCTACCCCCCCTTATTCCCCCTCCCCCCCCCTCCCCTCTCCTCGAGTATACGACTATGTGTAGATGTCTTGGGTCGCGAGACGTCTCAGCCAGTATGCGAGACGCAGCCCGAGCGTGTGTGTTCCTACGAACCAATGGGAGAGCTTATACAATACACGGTCCCTTCACATCGCTACTAAGATGTCTAGGTTTGTCTCGTTCATGCAGTACTCTGTAGTCAAGTTTAGAAGCAAGTTTATTGTCAAAGTTTTTGGGTGTCTGCTGCTGTTAGCTTCAAATATATGTCTAGTTTTCCCCCCCTAAAGAGATCATTGTGCATTAACAGAAAACCAGGATGTCTACATATCATAGGACTTAAATATAGTATGTGTAATGTTGTATAAAAAAATTTGGTAGCCTATTTTTAGCTAAATAGTCTTTCTCTCTCTCTCTCTAACTGCCAAATGTGATAGATGACACTTGAACTTATTTATCATATTTATGTTTGTAAGTTAGATTCATGTTGTGCTGTAAGCTTTGTAAATAAAGAAAAAGAACAGCTAGTCCATGTTTATTTATACATTAAAAAAATCTTTTCATAATAGACATTTGTTTTAATTGGATTTAAAGATTTCCAATTTTAAAAATGAATAAAAAAAATATTACATTATTAACGATGATAATCAAATCTGCAAATTCAGACAAATATGATACTAATTATAATGATAAATATGATGATATTGATAGAGTGATGATGGAAATTATAAAGAATAAAATTGATTGAAAATTAATTTGATGATATAATATGAAAATATGAAAACAGTTATAAAATATGACAAAGAAAATATTAATGATATCTATATTAATCATAATAATAAAAGCAATGATAATTATAATAGAAATATAATTATTACCTCAAGGAAAATAATATATATAATAGGTCTTGCAACATAACATAGCAATGATAATAAT